AAAAGCAAGGAGAGAGTGATGAACAGCAAGTCAAAAGTGACCATTCTTTAGACATTTGTACTTACTCAACTGCTTCATGTCCAAAGGCATTTGCCAAAACGACTACATGTTGTGGACGTTGAACTAACTGTTGTGCAAAGTTTAATTCTGTTGTGAGAAATGCACCAAAGCAATTGAGAAGAACTGTAAAACGGGAACTGAAGGTGCACTGGAAATGCCCAGTGGAGATCGAGAAAAGGAGCGCAACATCTGAGGAGGGGAGAGCAGATACAGGTGAGTCCAGGAAGATAAGTCTAAACTTGGTGGGTGCAGAGAATAGACTTACTGGGAGTAGGGGAGCGTAGGAATGAGGGAGGGTAGGTTGTAGGGATGAGCGAGTACACCACTATCTGTATCTGCATCTGTATCTGTTCAACCAACTAAATTATCTGTATCTGTACTCGGAATGGGCGTGGCATAACCCGGAAGTGGGCGTGGTTTAACCGGAAGTGAGTGTGGTTTACATCAACATATTATTTTAAGTCTGAAATTGATATGGATTGATCAGAAGTTGCTATGTGTATTGTTTATTTGAAAACTATATTTACAGAGCAGCCTCAGAATTGAGATTAAATAGTTTTAATCACAATAGTAAAGAAACTATTACAGAACAAGTGTTTCAATAAAATCAGAACATTAATATTTAAGTGCATGGATTAATACATCTGAACTCATGCAGTATGAACTAGGAAATATGAAATACTAGAACCAGACACAACTTTATATATACATTTTTTATTTTAATTTGATTAAACTGATTTTTTTCTTAACGTTCTTGGCCTTTTCCCACACAAAGTTAAACAAAACAATGTTGATTAAGGTGTGTGTGTGTGTGTGTGTGTGTGTGTGTGTGTGTGTGTGTGTGTGTGTGTGTGTGTGTGTGTGTGTGTGTGTGTGTGTGTGATAGAGAGGGAGTTAAATAAAAAAACCCGACCGGAGCGGAGGTAGTGAGTGACTAACACAGCATGTCAGCTCTGTCTTGTCAAATGCACCACGTATGCTACGAAAGAAGTAACTTTAAATATTCAACCGAAAAAGAGGCGAGCTGAAGAAAACCTAGGGAGTACTGAAGAAACGTGAGCAACAGTGAAGCAATCACAGCGAGATCCGTTACTGTCTCTGTGTGTGCGTGGATGAGCCGGACGGACTGCGCTCCCGGCCGACTGCAGCTTTGTGTGTAGGGAGGGGCGGGCGCTCTATGTGACTGGCCAATCACAGAGCGTGAAGACAGTCAGTAAACCAATGAGGAATCATGCTCGTATTCGTCAAAAATGCTTTATCCGTACCGGATACTCGTCTGAAACGAGTCTCCAGCTCATCCCTAGTAGGTTGGGTGCAGGGGTGAATCCAAGTGGGGTGTCCAGGAGAGGGAGCGAGAGGAGAGCAGGGGAGCAGGCCGGCCGGAATGGAGAACGGTGAGAGCTGCATCCGGAAATCCTATGGGCCACAGGTGAGTAATCCTGAGGAGTCGCAGAAAACCAGAGAAGTAACCCAGAGAAGTCACAGAAGTCCAAAAACGTTCCAAAACCTGGTAACGGGTAAGCACAGGGAAAAGATCCAAAGGTTCACAAAAAATAAATCCTAGAAACACTAGAGCACAAAATCCAAGAGTCGTAAGAGAGCAGGAAACTACCAAGCTGTAGTAATAATCTGGCGTCGAGGAGTGTTCTCCATCGTCCTTTTGTAGCCAGACCCGCTGATTGCAAATCAGCTGCAGCTGGAGACTCCCTCTCCTGAAACACACAACTCAAAGATGGGAAAATGAGAGGTGTACTCACCCCGGCACATGACAAGAACCTTTCTCGTTAATTTTTGATTTATGAAGCAGAGATTGCGTGCAGCTGTGCGTACTCCATGTTTGATAGATCACAAACCTACTTGGCGTAAGTACATTTTTTTGCTGAGCTTAAGTGCGGTTTTAGTAAGGATTCTACGCAATGTTTGATAAATGAGACCCCAGGATTGGACAGCAGTGGTTCACCCATGTGTGGTTGGGTCATGGAGGCAACAGGGGAAGGAGGAACACCCAGACCTTCCTCTCCCTAGCACCAACAACTGAGTTTTGGACCTGCTCTGACCTCTTCTCTGTACATAGTACCTCAAAATGTCCAAAGCGGGGTAACCAGGAAGCGGTTAGCTCATTGTGATGCAGAGGAGCAGTGCTTCTAATCTGAACATCTCACCAAAGGTCTGATTTCCTAACTCTGTTTTCAAGGTTGAGCTCAGATATCCTCAGAAGAAAACAGCTGCTCCATTTCCATTTTTGGTTCTTTTTTAAAACCCAGAAAAGGTTTCTTTTTACCTTGCTTGCCGACAGTTTTGTTGGCGGCTGCAAACTTCCTCAGAGCTGACGCTGATGGTGGCGTTACGTTCTACTCCGCAAGGTAAAAAGAAACCTTTTCTGTGTTTTAAAAAAGAACCAAAAATGTAATTAGAAATCAGACACAGCAAGAATGTACCAAAGAAAACCGCTGCTCGTATCTCAGACCTTGTTCTTACACTACACTTCCCCTAAATACCCAAAAGACTGATGTTAGCAGGTGGAAGCAGGTTTTTAGGTTCAGTTGGACCCATTTTACAAGGGCAATAAAACAATTGTCTCTTTCAGAAGCTTCTATAACTTTCATTTTATCACCGACAATCATCATCTGTCTTTGTCAGCATGGTGACTGGACATTACTTGCTCTGTCATCTACCTGAACTTATGCCCCCGTCCACCGTACTTCCTGTTTAGTGTTTTTCACATTTGAACACCAGAAGAAGAAAAAAACACAAGTCAACGTGCACATCAGCAATATTGACTTTTGTAAAGTGATTCAACATAACAAACCATTGAACGGACACAAACCAGGAAGGCTCTGTGCTTAAAGGCCATTTTCTTTCTGTATGTGATGATAAAGTTTGACAGGAAATTGTGCTCTTTTGTCTTTGAAGAAGACCAAAAACATGAACAGCACTAGGCTGATGAGAGATGGTTCCATTTTAGGCTTTTTGGTATTGATGAGTTATTTATGGAAAAATAATGAATCTTTCTGTCTAGATCAAACAGTTTTATTTGTTGAAATAAGCAGACTTTTACTTCTGTCAGACTCCAAAAGTAGGCACCTTTCAAGTTTTACCCTCATCCATCCTTGCTGTGCTTCATTTTCTGTTTGTTTAGATCTACAATGAAAATGGTTGATGTTAAGAGCCAGCTTGTACCTCACTCAGGCGAAGCGTAAACGTATTTCCAACTTCCCCAGTATTGAAACAGGCGCTGCAGTTTTGGTGTTTGTGTGTCACATCTGGGGTTAGAGCCCAAACTCTGCCTCTACGTTCCAAACACATGGAGAAAGAGATGCTAGAGAAAGGGTGAGAGGATTTATTACCCAGCATTAGGAGCTCTAATCTGTTGCAGGTGTTTCTGGCTGTGCTCCCAGGCCATGCCTGCTCGCCTCTCCAGTAGGCCCCAACTCTGTTTGACAAAGGAAGAAAAAGAAGCAGGGAGAAGAAGAGAGAGATTTTTTTTCTACCACGGTTCCTTTGAGGAGTTTTTTTCGTTATAGCCATGCTCTCAAATCATCAAGGGTGTCAAGATAAAAGCAAAGTGAACACGCATTCCAATTACTTTAACCATTAGTCATATCAGTCACAACAGAAAACAGCTGAGTGAATGGCAGGTCCCATTCAGTTGCTCACACTTTTCCTCTAGAACTAAAAATGTATCAGTTGAAGGTTGAAGAAAGGAAAAGAAAAGAAAGACGTTTCTACTTTGTTTATGAAACTACTTCAATTTTGTGGAGTTGTTGTTTCTTTATTCTTATGACAAGGACAGCTCACTGCTGCAGCAGCAGGGCACGGCTTCAAGGATGCACTACAAAGGAGGCAGACCACCAGGATGCGTCGAGCTTCACAGGAAGCCTGTGGTGCGTTTGGGGTTCGTGAACAAAAGCGGAAATAAAAAAAGTAACCCACTGAGAAGGACCTGCCTTGTGAGAAGTCTCAGGCTGTGGCCACCTTTGGGAAGAACAGTGAGGAAGGGAAAATGGAAATGGGCAAAAAATAAATAAAAAAAGAAGGAAACTTAAAGATGGGTGTAAATCCTGAATGACGTCAGGGAAATGTTTTGGAAAGAATTCTGTTGAACAGGAACATATTTCAGGGGACTTCCTCTTGTGTTTTAATAACCTATCTGCTGCTCCACAGCCTAAACGCTACTGCCCTCTTGTGGTTATTTAATGCAATAATCAATTTAAACGATTCTGTATTGGTATGGTAACCCTCTCAGGCTCAAATTAAGTTTTGATAAAAAGGACGAACAACTAAGTGCTTCAGGGGTACTTCTGAGTTAAAAAATGCTCATGAAATACGTATGTGGAGTAACCAGGTAGGTAGGTTTTAATGCTGCAAATGTGCAACGCCTGCCTCCAGAGGGTTAAAGTGAAGAACTTACAAGAAAATTGTTTGACTTCATGACAACTTTGGTTACTTACTGCTAAATACATAACTATGTACAATATTATATTGTAAATTCAACTATTAAACTGCTTTATAGGTGACTGATGATGTGAGGAAGTGATACATTTTTGTCCCTGAATGTGTCACTTACGGCTTTAGGCTTTCTTGTTATTTTAAACACTTCCTCTTACTAAACAACAATAAATTGCTGGAGAGAATCAAACAGGTGTTTCTTGATTAAAAAATAATCTGTAGCCATCAAATGCTAAAATATCAATTGTGCTTTTACAATGTTTTTAAAGTTATTATTGTTTATTTATAGTATTTAATAATCACATTTTGTTGTTACAAATGTATTATATTAACTTCTTATGTTTGTTTGGCCCAATTTACTTGTAACACAACACTATTCACTAAAATAGTTTCACAGATTGTTGTTTAAAGTGTTTATTTTATCCTGAATAAATAAGTCTAAACAATTTGCATAAAATCAACAAATGGCGGCTCTTAAACAAACACATGCGTTATGTATGTATTGAAGGTTTATTGCCAGGTTTGTGATTAACTGATCACACTAAGCAGATGCCGATCATCAATTTTAATTTAGGTTGAAACACGTTTATGAGGTGAACTATAAACAGCTGTTTAATGTCGACGCGGGGCAATCATTCTTTTTCTACCAAAGCCAGGTTGTGGAAAACAGTTAGAGGTCAAAGGTCAAACACACATCTAGACCAGTAGAAATTTTCCGAGGTGCGCGTTGTTGACGTGGTTGTTAAAATGACGCAACTTTTCCGCGCGGAGCCGTGCGGACCTCGCGGACGCGTCAAGCATAAACCAACCTTAAGGGCTCCTCCCGGTCTTTCAGGTGAGCTGGTTAAGCTCTTAAAGAAGGACTGCTTCACTGAACGGCTTCATTGTTACTCGAGTACAATGCGGGACAAAATACACAAAAATGTGACTTCATATCAAGTCACCAATTAAACAATCCGCAGCACAACAGGAGTCCACGTTTATGTCATGGGTTGTAGTTTAAGGAGTTCTGGATGACATAGTTTGTCGCAGAAGGAAACCAGTCTTTGCAGAGAGTAATTATCTGTGTGAACCAAGGGTAATAAAGCTCCTGCTGTCGTGTTGCTCCTGTTATGATGATGTTCAGAGCAGCTTCTGCAGCTGGATAGGCTGGCATCTTAGTGATCCCCCTGAAAAGTAAGTGGAGTATAACAGTCATTCAACCACACATTCATACGCTGGCGGGGAAGAGCCACCGCAGCCCTAACCCCCCCAGAGCGTTTCCTGAAGTGCAGATGGGACCAACCTGACTTTCTTCATAGCAGATTCAGTATCAATCAGCCCCAGGGTGCATATAGAGACTGACACGTTGCTCTCCTTCATAGCCAGCTCATGACTAAGAGAACCAAAGAACCCATTGAGGGCAGATTTTGTGGAGGTGTATGGAGCTGTGAAGGGACTGGGCATTTTACCTGTGGACAAAGATTTGAGTGAAACATAACACGCATGAATGATAAATGACCTGCATGTTAGCCCCTTTCAGAGTCAGATAACTCCAGAGTGTATGATTCTTCCATTCACACACTGGTGGTGATGAGCTACGTTATAGCAGCTGCCCTGGGGCGCACTGACAGAAGTGAGGTTTCTGAGCACAGGCGCCACCGCTCCCTCTGACCAGCACCAGCAGGCAAGGTGGGTAAAGTGTCTTGCCCAAGGACACGACAGCAGGATTCACTACTGGGAGCCACGAGTTTTAGTTTGGATATAAACATGCTGTAAAGTACCTGCCACATTTAAAATGTATTCTCTGGTCATTTTAAACCATTTTTTATTAATGGCATGACTAAGTTGAGAGGAGCTTGAAGAAAGGGAGTCAAGCTTTTGAATTTTTTTTTTTTTTTTTGGGAAAATGTAGCTTGCTTTTTCAGAGAATGTAGACTGCATGTTTGCAACGGTATTAAATGGAATTATTTAGTATTTAAGGGTCTTCCCAAACAAACTACTTAATTACTAAAACTGTGTTCACCAAGATTAAATCAATGAGCTAAGGCAGGCGCCATCAGCAGGTAGCTCAAAGCACTGCAAACCCTTCTGGTGGCTACAGGGCAAAACTACATCTAAGGTCATTTAGAGCAGTGTTTCCCAGCGATGGTTCCCAGTCTGGGATTTGTGATCCTCCAAGGGGGTTGCCACAACTTTGTTCTGAGGTTGTAAGGTTACAAACATTATATGTGTGAAAATGAAATTTAAAAATCCCAACAACAAAAGTTTTTACTCTGTATGCCTGTTTATCACTTTTGATGTGTGTGTGTGTGTGTGTGTGTGTGTGTGTGTGTGTGTGTGTGTGTGTGTGTGTGTGTGTGTGTGTGTGTGTGTGTGTGTGTGTGTGTGTGTGTGTGTGTGCGTGTGCGTGTGTGAAGAAGAAGAAAATATCATTTCTATAGCGCCTCTCATAATAAAAATCACGAGGCTCTTCACAAAAACAAAAAAATGTAAAAAATGTAAAAAAGAATTTAGAAAATGGTTAAAACTATATTTAAAATGAGCAAAAAATAGACAATTGTGATTAAAAATGTTAAGAAAGAGAGAGAGTGAATAGGAAAGAGGGAAATCAGTGGATCCTGAGGAAGGTGGAATAGGTGGGGAGAGCAGAATAAAGAGAGAGTGGTGAAGAAGGTCATACAAAAGTCAGCTTGAACAAGTGAGTCTTCAGCTGCTTTTTAAAGGAGACCACTGAGTCCACTGATCTCAGGCTCAGGGAGAGAGTTTCACGACGGTGGCACAGGAGTTAAGTGCTCGCCCCGTAATTGGAAGGTTGCAGGTTCGAGCCCCGCTCAGTCTGTTGCTGTCTTTGTCACTGTCGTTGTGTCCTTGGCAAGACACTTAACCCACGTTGCCTGCTGGTGGTGGTCAGAGGGACCGGTGGCGCCAGTGCTTGGCAGCCTCGCCTCTGTCAGTGCGCCCCAAGGCAGCTGTGGCTACATCGTAGCTCATCCCCACCAGTGTGTGAATGTGTGTGTGAATGGGTGAATGACTGATTGTGTTGTAAAGCGCCTTGGGGGGTTCCAGGACTCTAGAAGGCGCTATTACCATTTATACAATTCCAGGGTCTAGAACCACAGCAGCAAATGATCTGTCGCCTTTGGTCTTTAGCCTGGTGCTGCACAACCAGTAGGCTTTGATCACTGGACCTCAGGGACCTGCTGGGGGTGTAGGGACTAAGAAGATCACCAATGTAAGATGGTGCTTGTCCATGTAAGGCCCTATAGACCAGAACCAGGATCTTAAAATGAACCCTGAAGTTGACTGGCAGCCAGTGAAGCTGGAGGAGAAGCGGGGTGATGTGGGTGTGCTTGGAGGACTTGTGTGTCTGTGTGTGTGTGTGTGTGGGGGGGGGGGGGGGGGGGGGGTGTTGATGGGTGCCTGGATTTGGTCACAAGCAAAGGGTCCTTGTGGAAAAAAATTGAGGACCATTAGCTTAGAGCAGGGGTGTCAAACTCATTTTAGCTCAGGGGCCACATTGAGGGAAATCTAGTCCCAAGTGGGCTGGACCGGTAAATTTAAAAAAAAACTTCAGATTGTTTTCTTTGTTTTAATACAATCAATATAAAACAAAGCTGGAGCCTGAGGACAGTGTAGTACAAGTACAACACTTGAAGTGTCCTTGAAAATTTGAAAAAAAAATTAAAAAATCAACAAATAAAAAAATAACATTCCTTAGTGATTCAAAGAGCTTACAGATCACATGGCTAGATCAGTTCCATGCAGCACTTAAAATATATTTGACTCATTTTACTTAACATCTTTTAGCTTTCACCAGCACATCAACATCAGAAGTCACATCCTGAGTGGCAGCTAACTTCAGGATGTGATTCAAGTTCTTGTGTGAGCCTTGAGCGCAGCTTTGTTTTATTTATACTCATGACAGAGAAAACTTGCTCACAAAGATACGTTTATTTTCACTCTACATTGTAAAGTATGAAAATAAAGTTTACACAACCATCTCGCGGGCCGGATCCGGCCCGCGGGCCGCATATTTGACACCCCTGGCTTAGAGGGATTTTAATAAATAGTTATCATGAATGAATCTAAACTGCCTAATGAAAATGTAGGGAGGGCATGTCCCGACTGTCCACCCCAAAATTATACCGATGAATAAGAAACGTGACCCAAACTAAAACATCACATGGACAGTATAGTCAGGCACCCTTACCTGCAACAGACGAAACAATAACCAAAGATCCTTTACTTTGTTCGAGGGAGGGTAACGCTCTCCAGGCCATCTGAATGTAGCTGAAGAAATTAACCTTCAAAATAAACACACATTCAGTCTATTGAATTCTCCTGATTTCATGAGCTAACGATGGACCATCGAAAGGCTTCATTACCTTCATTAGCCACCTGACGTGGCCCACCTCTCCGCTCCACATGCTGAAGGGAGTGGAACCAATGTGGTTGAGAACCAGGTAATCCAAACCTCCCAGTTTGTCTAGAGCAAAATCCACCACTTTGTCTGGGTCGGACTCACTTGCCATGTCTGCTGCTATGTAGAGAGCCTCCTGGGCTCCCAGACTCAGGCACTTCTCTGCTACCTGGGAGCCAAGATGAAGAAAGATTTGATTTGAAATTTGACGGAACAGTAAAAGCCACGAGAATATTTAATCTTCAGATTTAGTTTGAGCCTAATATTTGCTAAATGTATTCTTCAATAATTGTTCTTTTGGAGTCACATGTGGCAACAGAAACACTTAGCTCCTCTTCTCTCTATCTAAAATGAAGACTGAAACTTGAGCATCATATTCAATTAAAGTAGACAGATGTGACTATGTATGACTTTTTTCTTCAGTTTATAGTTCTATGGTCAATATAAACATTTGAACTAGGTCACATAAAGCAATTTCAGCAGTTTTGTCCGCGACAGTTTCAGGACCTTCCACAATGAGTTGTTTCAGGGCTCTGTCACTTTACATCCCCAGCTCAGGCTGTTATAAGATGAGAACGGAGTGGCTCAGAGTAGAGGTGCTGCTCCTCCAGCCTGGGGAGGTGAGAGGTGGTTCTTGCAAAATACAAAAGTCGCCATTTGTGACATCACAAATAGATACTTTTGAAAATTGTTCATTTTTGGCACATAAATCCTAAAACCAAACACTAACAGAAAACGAATTAATGTTTTTTTTTTTTCCCCACACATGGAGCAGTGGTGTGTCCAGATCTTTTAAAATGGGGTGGCCCAGGTGAGGCACAACTTTTTGCATGGGTGGCACCAATTGTTATGCTTTTTTTATTTTTACCCCCAAGCCTTTTGTGGATGATGAAAAGCCTATTTAAATGTAAATTAGTGTGGTGGCACCTGGGGTGGCCAATCAGATTCCAAGGGTGGCATGTGCTACCCCAGGCCACCCCCTGGACACACCCCTGATATGGAGTGTTTATTGAGACAGCAGAGACCCACGTGGTAGCACTTGAGTCTCACAAAACATGTCCCCTTTAAAAGAAGAATTAACATTAATTTGGTGTCTAGATCTCAGCTGGGTGGACTGCAGAAACATATAGTGACACTCTACTAATGAACAGAACAAAAATGTTGATTAAGTCTAACCTGCTGTAAGGCTTTCTCTCTCCTCCCTGTTATAACGATCTTGGCTCCAAAGCGGCCGTAGTGGTAAGCCATCTGCTCACCGATGCCTTTGCTGGCCCCTGTGACCAACACCCTGGCACCTCTGAGGGACTCTGAAAAAATCCAGCCCAATTTTTACATTGTACAACTATTTTAATACTTGTAAAACATAAAAAGCATAAATCATAAATTACATGAACACTTTTCAGGCAATACAGATGCCTGGACTAGCAGATAAGCTACATCCAACATGAAGTACATTTGTGAATCGATTACAGAGATGCCCTCAAAAAGATAATATTTATGGCACTAGGGGGAAAATGTCAGGTCAGTTTAATCTTTACCATTCTGACAAACACTGATCACATATGTAGGGCAATAAAGATAAATCAGTCAAAGTCCTTTACATGTTGCTTCAAGCTAAACAACATATCACTGAACTTCCGAAACATCTAAGAGCCTGGTTGCACGAGTTAGCTGTTGATCCAAAGTAGAACCATCACACTATTATTATAAAACCATTAGTTGCCCTAACTGTGACGAGTGTCCTAATTATAGTAAGGATAATGCTACACGTTTTCTGTGGTAAGACCTTTTGGTCACATGCAGGGAGCAGAACATCTCCAATTCCTTGCTCATTTTGAGCCTATAGAACTCCCAAAGGGATCATAAAACATTCATGATCATTATTATGAAGAGTTGCTCAGCGCAGAGTAGGAGGCATGGACAGCATTTCATCAACGTGTGCTGGTGCACACATTCAGCATTTAATTTCCATATAATTATTTATAAGCATTTATTTGCTAAAATATATGTATCAACTAATTCAAAACAAATAGATAAAATGTTCTATTTTTCACGCAGAAATATGACTGTATTCCAATTTTGAAAACTCTGAATTAATGCTAACAGAGAATAAAGATTAGTCGTTTTAGATAAGAGCACCTCTCAGGTTTATAAGCAAACTGCACTCATATATAATGAATTATTTAATAGTGATATAACTGCTTTAAATCAAACAGTAAAGCATTCCCTTTGTTACAAAGCAGCACACATCATGTATGAGTGCTTAGCTTTTGAAGAAAAAACTGTATAATTTATCTAGGTGATAGATACTACTTGCAGTTCTGTACTTTGCATTTTGTTCTGAGTGGATTTCTGCATCTTGTTTCATTTTTTATGAAGACTCAAAACTGGCTTTTGCACAGCTACTTACCACATGCAGCCCTACCCCTGAAAACAGGCACTTCAGTGTCTGAACACAATGTTCTAAAACAGTAGAAGAATGTGACCTTACCGGGATCAAAACTGGGTGCAGTCCATTTAACAGCTATGTAAGCAACAAAAATACTTGCCATCAAGATTTTAAAAAGTGGTCCCATTTCTGCCAACCTGCATCAAGTTTTATGCAATATTTTTGCTAAGTGTATAAAGTGTGTCCCTTCTTTCACCATGCAGATTTTCTAGTAAGCAAAAGTTGTGTAATAATCCGTCTCTTGTTCTCGTTCCCACTCAGGCTGCAAGATGGGTAATGTTTAAACTAGTTTCATTCAACTTTATTTAAGCTCAATTTCACCATCAGACCAAAGTACACACGTGGGGCAGTAGCTCAGCAGGTTGAGCGCGTTGTCCAGTCATCAGGTGGTTACAGGTTCGATCCCGGCTCCAGACAGAATTCTGCTGTTGTGTCCTTGGGAAAGACACTTAACCCACCTTGCCTGCTGGTGGTCAGAGGGACCAGTGGCACCTGTGCTCAGCAGCCTCGCCTCCGTCCCCAGGGCAGCTGTGGCTACATTGTAGCTCATCAACATCAGTGTGTGAATGTGTGTGTGAATGGATGAATGATACGCTGTAGTGTAAAGAGCTTTGGAGTCCTTACTCTGAGAGGCGCTATACAAGTGCGGGTCATTTATCATTATCACTTAAAAAAACATGGAATACTTAAAATAAAGTTTTGAGAGTCAAGAAATAAGTATTTTTTTATTTTAAAAAGCAAAACATTTAAGCAAGAAGAAATGAAAAAATAATGCAGTGACATAACAGGAGTTCAAAGAGCACTTTTATTGACTCGAAGTTTATTCAGAGGGACCAAATCCAACAGGTGCACACTATGTTGCACCAAATAATGTATCTCAGCCCTCACTGCTCATTTAAAGAATGTTTTGCACTTTAAAATTTAGTTGATTTGATTGTTTTATATTTATTGTTGGTGAATTCGGATTGCATGGATCAAAAACTATAGCGGTGGGTATTTAGCTAATGTTGCTCACCACTTGGAAAACAAGCAAACAAAAAAGCCATACATCTACCCACACACAGCCAGGGACTTTGGGCCCCAGGGAAAATACAGCTCCTTATATGCAATAAAGTATAAGAGACACTAAATTAGGTTAAATCTATAAAATCTAAAACTGGCAATGGTACAACATATCAGCTAAAAGTAGAGACGCACCGATACAATACTGGTATCGGTAAAAGTTAACCGATACCAGGAACCGATACCAATGCAGTTGCTTGAAAATGGCTTCACTGTAACTTGTCATTTCTGTTCACCTAATATTTTAGTTTTGTGATGATTTCTATTCATATATTTTACTTTTTATCTACCTCACAGTCTTTTCTTGTTGAAAGCAGAGAAGAAAATAAAAATTTATGTTCCAAATCATTGCATTTTTTTGTGTGGTAGAAGTATCGGTATTTGGTATCGGCGAGTATTCAGATCCAAGTATCGGTATCGTATCGGTTTGAAAAATGTGGTATCGTTGCATCCCTAGCTAAAAGCAGGTCTATCCACTGTACTGTTATGTGTATTGGTGTTTAGAGCTCAACAGGTCCATGTTTGTGTTACTGGAGGAGATAAATATTGATCATGGATTGTAGTTGTAGGAGTTCTGGATGAAAAAGTTTGATGAGGAAGGAAACCAGTCTTTGCAGAGTGTAATAATCTGTGTGAACCAAGGGTAATACAACTCCAGCTGTCGTGTTGCTCCTGCTTTGATGATGTTCAGAGCAGCTTCTGCAGCTGGATAGGCTGGTACATTCACGACCCCCCTGAGATACAAACAAGTCGGCATTAAACCAAAGCAAACGGCTCAGGTGCAAACATTATCGCAAATCATTTTAGCACTTTTCTATGCACAAACACAGAAACACATTTTTATATATTTGACCAACCTGACTTTCTCCATAGCAGATTCAGTATCAATCAGCCCCAGAGTGCATATGGAGACTGACACGTTGCTCTTCTTCATAGCCAGTTCATGACTAAGAGACCCAAAGAAACCATTTAGAGCAAATTTTGTGGAGGCGTATGGAGCTGTGAAGGGACCGGGCATTTTACCTGTGAAGAATAGACAACACACATCTGTCTGTAGGGATGTGTGTTGGTGAAATTCTGACGATAACAATACATATCACCATAATACGATATATTACAGTATATTGTGATACATTCAGTCAGACGATATTAGCGGTTTTCTAGACTGATTTTATTGTAGAAAAATTCAATAAGCAGTCCAAACTGCTACTTAACATGTGTAACATGAGGTATATGAACCATAATTGAGGGATTTACATTTTAATGGTGGAAACAAAACCCAGTACACACTGCTGTCAACTGGGGGTCGGCGTTTGAATTGCACCAAAAGAAAAGAAAATACACAAATGTTTGCATGCAAATTCTTCCAAAAATTAGATACACAGCTTTTGAATATCCATATAATATCACTGGAACAAATATCACGCTGTATTGCCATATAACTATATTTTTTTACATCCCTATCTGAATAACAAATAATATTCTGAATCTAGGCAAGAATTTGAACTTATGACTAAAAGTGTTTTCATTTCTACTTGTTTTACTCTTTGTTCTGCAATGTTTCTTTTAAATATTTCCTAGAAGGTGTTTGTTTTACAATTGGAAACTGTTCTTTGAGCCTTGACCTTCTGAGTGGCCTAGTGGTAGTGTCCGCCCTGGGACTGGGAGATTGGAGTTCAAGTTGGGTCGTACCAAAGAACTTTAAAAAAAATGCCTCCCGCTTGACACTCAGCTTTGGGGGGGTTGGATTGGGGGTTAAACCACCACATAGTTCCCAAGCGCAGCCACTGCTGCAGCTCACCGCTCCCCATGGGGATGGGTCAAATGTGGAGATGAATTTCACCAGTATGTGATGACGATGATGACTTATATAGCCATGGTCAAAAACCTGCTTGTCCTGTCCACTGCACACACTTTTGCTGGTTTTAATAGCTCTATGACAGCAACTAGATAAATGTGGTTCTAAACTCAGACACATTTAAGTTAACTTTTTAGTTATGAATGCCTCTTGTGTTTCATAGTTTACTAAAAAATAATGGAGCCATACTTACCCAAAAGGGATGAAACAATAACCAAAGATCCTTTACTTTGTTCGAGGGAGGGTAACGCTCTCCAGGCCATCTGAATGTAGCTGAAGAAATTAACCTTCAAAATAAACACATGCATTCACAGTTTATGGCATTCTCTTGATTTCATGAGCTCATAGACTGTTACAATGGTTCATTACCTTCATTAGCCACCTGACGTGGTCCACCTCTCCGCTCCACATGCTGAAGGGAGTGGAACCAATGTGGTTGAGAACCAGGTAATCCAAACCTCCCAGTTTGTCTAGAGCAAAATCCACCACTTTGTCTGGGTCGGACTCACTTGCCATGTCTGCTGCTATGTAGAGAGCCTCCTGGGCTCCCAGACTCAGGCACTTCTCTGCTACCTGGGAGCCAAGATGAAGAAAAAAGTACTGAAACATGTATTGGAACTGCAAAAGAAGCAGGAATTCATCCAAATCGCCTGATACATGTGTATAGCAGGGCTCTCTTGGGCTCAACGATGCTGAAACATTTAACTTTCTCCTTTTGATTTTAACAAAGTTGGTATCACAACTTTAATGGCATAACTCAATGCATCATTGGTGACAACTCTGAAAACCTGTTTGGTTTCTCTAATCTTTAGATATACAGTACATACTGAATTCAACACACCTGCTGTAAGATGTTCTCCCTCCTCGCCGTAATAACAATCCTGGCTCCAAACTGGGCATAATTATATGCCATTTGTTCCCCAATACCTGTGCTAGCCCCAGTGACCAGCACCCTGGCACCTTTTAGAGATCCTAAAACAAAAAATCGTCATTATTTCAAAAGGATTTATTGAATCACTTCTCAAAACATGCATCAAAAACACCTACTTTCACATTTTAATTTGTGGAAATCAATAAAAAAAATCACCTCTATAATAACCTGGGGATCAAATACTACATATTTGATATATATTTACAGAAATGTTTCAGAGGTACATGGATGGAAGATAAACTTTATGACACTAAATAATCGGAGTTCTCTGTTTAGAGTCCATCCATCAATCCATTTTCTGAACCCGCTTGTCCACGCGGGGTCGCGCCGGGGGGGTGGGGGGGGTGGGGGGGCTGGTGCCTATCTCCAGCGGTCAACGGGCAATCAGGCGGGGTACACCCTGGACAGAGAGCCAGTCCATCGCAGGGCAACACAGAGACAAACAGGACAAACAATCGCACGCATGCACACACACACACACCTAGGGACAATTTAGACAGACCAATTAACCTAATGGGCCATTCCCATCTGTACCGGGTCGGCCTGGGCCGGGTAGCGTAGGTTGTTTACATATCTGGGTGGCCTGGTATTGTTCCGGGCCAACCAAGGCTCATTCTCAGCCCTCTTCTCGAGGGGGTCTGCTTCAGGCCGACCAGGGCCAACACACCCACTGCTGACAGCAAATTCACGCCTTCCATTAGAGCAAGCCTCTGATTGGTGGGTAGAATCAGCCCACATGGGCTTAAGACAAGGATGTGTGGAATCAACCGGGCCAGGCTGGGGCCGACTGGGGCTACCCGGCCCGGGCCGACCCGGTACAGATGGGAATGGCCCATTACAGTCATGTTTTTGGACTGTGGGAGGAAGCCGGAGAACCTGGAGAGAACCCAAGCATGCACAGGGAGAACATGCAACCTCCATGCAGAAAGATCCCAGGCCGGGAGGCAAACTCAGGACCTTCTTGCTGCAAGGCAACAGCTCTAACCACTGCGCCTCTGCGCAGCCCCTGTTTAGAGTCAGTCAGCACATACAGAGCTGTAAAGATAAGCCAATCAGACCTTTAGGTTTAATGATATTTGGACTTATGGAGAACAGAAAAAACAAGACCCTATGGGTTTGCGTTGTGGTGACCTAATTTTTGCTTATCGTTACGTCCCCGACAGGAGGTGTTAAAAAGTGAAGGAGGGGGTAACATAAGAAACATGATGGTGGGTTTAAAATGGGTCTAATCGTTATAAAGATTCTAAAAACAAGTGCAAACAGATGGAAGGCGTTATTCAAATAATGCCAAACAAAAAACTAAGACTAAAAGGTTATTTAAAGGACCACTTATCAACATTGAAACACCTGGTTTAAACTTTGTTAAAAGTTTTACCAAAACAGGAGTTTTAAAAAACACAAGTTGATAATAAGAACTACAAAAACAGAGCGTCTTAAAATCTCAAAGTCGGTAAACTGCGATGTTAACCTTAGAACGGAGTCAACCACGATGACATCAAACTAAGATCCCTTTAGATTACTCAGAGTTAAAACTTTTGAAGTCAAAACTCATCAGAAACAAAGGGGTTGAAATCAAAATGAGGCCTGGAGGACAGCAGAACCCCTGCACTGCTGCCTTCCAGACTGCTGAAGGCACAGCCTTTTTATCCAGATGTTGGTCATCAGAAGGATTCAGCTCAGCTGTGCTCCTCAGCAGCCTGGAAGAGAGGAGGGGGGTCGGTGTCGGGCTGATCACCGGGGCTGGGTGATCCTGGCTCCTCCAACTGAAGAGGCCAGGCAGGTGGCCATAACACTTAACAATAACATAGTGCATCCTTGTGGTGGATGTTTTATTTAGTCACATGCAGAAAGCTGGTTTTCACTAATTATTCGCTCATTTTATGCTTCAACTCCCAAATGTGCTCAAAAGTCATGAAACATTTGCTATAATTTTACACAATGATACTTCTGTTTAGCGTTGAGTAAAGGGGAAGCAGGGGTTCATCACCAAAGAAATCCATCTTAATATTTGTATAACATGTTTTGTACTTTATATTACACAGGAGTTTCTGGTCTGACCATTTCTGACATTTGATCACACATGTATAGGTGTTGAACCTGTATCTTTTGAACTGTTATCTGAATTTCAAATTCAGATAACAGTATATATATATATATATAAATATATATATATATATATACATATATATATATACATATATATATATATATATATATATATATATATATATATATATATATATATATATATAATATATAGTGTCCTAGTGCAGTGATGCGGGCATTGTACTGGTCTGTTGTGGTGAAGAGAGAGCTGAGCTGGAAGGCAAAGCTCTCAATTAATCAGGCGATCTAAGTTCCTATCCTCACCTATGGTCAGGAGCTTTGGGTAGGGACCGAAAGAACAAGATCGCAAATACAAGCGGTTGAAATTCGTTTTCTCAACAAGGTGGCTGGGCTCTCCCTTAGAGGTTAGAAGCTCGGTTATCCGGGAGGGGCTTGGAGTAGACCCACTGCTCCTCCACATCGAGAGGAGCCAGTTGAGGTGGCTTGGCATCTGGTCAGAATGCCTCCTGGATGCCTCCCTGGTGAGATTTTCCAGTCACGTCCAACTGGGAGGAGATCTAAAGGGAATACCCAGGACACATTGGAAGGACTATGTCTCTTGGCTGGCCAAGGAACACCTTGGGATTCCCCTGGAGCAGCTGGCCCAAGTAGCTGGGAAGAGGGAAGTCTGGGCCTCTCGGCTTAGGCTGGTTCCCCCGCGATCCGACCACGGATAAGCGGTTGAAAATTGATGTATGGATGTATTTGAATCCCATCCACCAGTCTTCCTGGGGCTTAATGTACCCTGTGCACTGTGGGAGGGTTCAAGACTAGATTTTGTAGTCTAAATAATATATTCATTTGGATATACAATAGGTTAGGTAATTGGAGAAATACATTTAGATGTTTAATGTATCCCTCCAGATGGTCAGACAAGAATATATTTGCTTGTCCAAACAGAATTAAACCGTAATTGTCCAAAAAAGTTCCAAACAAGATATTTTAATCCTTATATTGTGTTAAATATTCCTAGTTTCTGTAACCTCACTGTAGGTTAACATTAGGAGAAACTAATTACCTATGTAGAAAATGTTTACAGTTCTTGTGAACACATAACATGCATTAAAAAAGACATTACTGCACTCTGAAGTTGGTTAAAAAATGCCCCCCCCCCCCCCCCCCCCCCCCCCCCCAAAAAAAAAACCTACACCAAACATTACTGGTTTTAAAATCCACACCAAATGACGTTTTTACAATTATTCTTAAATTTACCTGGATCAAAACTTGGCGCAGTCCATTTGACAGCAAAATAAGCTACAGAAATGCTCCCTATCAGGATTTTTGCAAATGGTCCCATGTGTGTAAACTCGCTATAAGTCTCAGAAAACTTCCTAGCTGTGTTATAAAAGTCTGCCTTCACTTTCATGATGTGAAGGAGGTGCCATTTATGTAACATCCCCCCCCCCCCCCCCCTCTCTCTCACTCACTCACTCACTCTCTCTATTTTGCGCTTCTCCCGAGATCAAATTATAACATATTTAAATATGTAACATTTCTTATAGTAACTTAAAAAGAACATTTATATTTAACCTGCACACCATTTTTATTTTCATTTTGCTTACATACAATTTTACAAAAGGAATAAAGTGGGATAGAAAAGAACGAATCTGCCGCTGAGAAAAAAGCGTTGGGGTTTCAAAAAACAACTTTATTGACAAAAACAGAGCTAACGCTGCAATGTCCTTCAGTGCAGCCCTATGTCGATGGTGCAGCCTAGCGGTGAAGTTAGATTCGCTGTTTGGAGTCTTGGTAAAAACAGCTTATAAAGAGAAGTTACACAGCTGTGGACCATGGCGGCAAGGATTTTGCCTTTACTCAAGTTCGTATATTTTAATTCACTGTTAAGTTTCGTTTAAGTTTTAGTGGTAAGTGACCTGAATGCTTGATTAGCTTGTGAGCTAGCATGCTACGGCATTTATCCGTTTACTGTATTGAGATTTCAAGCTGTTATTTTCCGATACTTTACTAACTAAATTGTCGCCGAGGATCCAATCAAATATTGCTTCATATGCGATTTTTCATGAATGTTTTGTTGAGTTGCTGATATTGCTTGATCAACGCAGAATTTAAGATCTCCCTGCTTTATTACTTAATAAGCAATGTTTTAATTTTAAGGTGGTGCTTTTGAGTGTGGTAAATGTTACGTGGCTGGGTGGTTTTGGCTTACGGTGTGGCTGATCTTTCATTTGCAGACTGGCCACCAAGGTGACCATTGCAGGAGGCGCTGTTTACGTCGCCTGTGACTCGGGTCTGCTGGGAACCAGCGAACAGGGCTCAGAGGCTCTGGAGAAGGCCAGAGCTGCTATACCACCCGCCATCGAGGAATGGATGAAGTATTTTGGTCTGGAGGTAGAGATGAAATTACACTTTTAGGCGATCACACACATTTTGACATGTTTAAACTGTAGAAACTGAATTCCAGCTACAGCCTCTGCACAAGACTTTGTGGGCGATGCATCATATGTGAAATTAAGCCTTATGTTTAATTGTGTACATCATTTTTTTCTTCTTTCCTCTGTTCCTAGGCTCAAGTTCCAGCCATACCTAAAATTGAAATTTCCCCTGTTGAAGCATGGAATTCTGGTAAGAACCTAGTAAGAATAAGAATACCTTTATTAGTCCCTCAGAGAGTTAATTGCAATATTGCAATGGCTCAGGTACAGCAGGACTTTTTCTTTAATAAAGTGAATTTACCAACAAAAACCTTAGAATATTATCCAGTTTCAGTGATCATTTCATTTGGAATCAAGTATTCTTTAACAACAGTTATTTCTTCTATCACAGGGGTGCGGTGGACAATTTCAAGCCTCTCAGAGGCTCCAACTAAAGCATCTGAATACGCAAGTCAGGGAGTGCAGTACGCAAAAGACCTCATCAAATGAACAAGAACTTTCTGAGTAACCTCATTTATCTATTCACTTGACTTTTGCACTTGTAAATCCTTAAGTCGTCCCCTTTCCTGAACAAAACAGCTTATTTAAATTCAGCTGCAAAAGAGATCTCAGCTGTTTTGTTGAGAGTTGTTGGAAGGATACTGTACATAAAGCAGAACTTTGGTTTATTTCAGTTGTCCAGTAGAGTTGGATACCACCCAGATGTCAAACTGTCCAAAATAATGTAAAAAAAGTTCATTTCTGCTGTGTGTGTGTATGTATGTATGCGTGCAATCTCACTATTTGCAATAAAATCATTCTGAAAACATTCTCAGGCTTGTTTGGTTTATTTAGTTAAACTTAATTTACAGTGTGCTGATTATAGCTGTGTTCAAAGTGAAGAACCAAACTAATGTGCAAAAATGTTTATTACAACAGAATATTATGACATGGGCAGTCAGTCTGCTACAATTTTGGAACAAGGAGCGAAAATGGAAGCATGAAGTATTTTTGACAAAAGCACAACTAGCAATGACGCTCAGTGTTAACCTTTGTTTTGAATGCATGTACAGAATCGTTTCTAGCACATCAAACATTTTCAAAACCTTCAGGCACTGTTAAGGTGATAAAATAACGTAAACAAAATGTTTTCTCAAAGATGCAATAAATTAAAAGATTGTGAGGTCAACACACATTTAGCATAAACTGGAAAAAGAGCTTTTTGTAAGACAACTTACTACAAATTTGTTAGCTCATCAGATTGTGAAAATACATTTAGTTCTTAATTATAGGTGTCTTAATGATTTGTTCACAAGAGACTCAGATTTTAGGGAGAAATTTTTCTAAATGAAAATAGTCACAAGCAACATTATTGGGATTTAAACAAATTTTTACAGATTAAATATAATCTGAATGTATTGCAGCACTGTCTTTGTTTCCTTCATGCACATCACTTAAAGCATATTTCTGCCACTTTTGTCCTTTTGGAACATCCAGTGGAAACTAAGACTGTACAACAACCTAGCTATGTAAACTTTATACAATAAAGTGCTGCCCACAACATCGACAGTGACATTACACAGGCATTATGATCCATTTGAAGAACATGTTCAACATAAAGGGGAGAACCATGCTGCTGTTGAAAACTGATGCTTGCAGAACTGTCCTAAATGAAAACTAGATGGCAGCCTTCAGTTGCAGCAATAAAGAGAAATTGTATTTACAATATTGCCAAATTGACAAGCCTAAAGGCACTTTTTGAATTGTGTGTATTCAAATACTAAATTAGTTACTAAATAGCAAGCACAATAGTGCTATTAACTTTAACATTCAGAAAGACTTAAACTTTTCTTAACAGTCTCCTTAAGAAAAGCGACTTTTGATTCATATACTAAATTATGTGGCCAACCAGGTAAAGTTGTAGTGCTAAATGTGGTGCAAAGATGCAGATCGTTGGCATCTGACTTTAAAGAGGTCTGATTAAAGTGATCTTGTGAGGCTGTTTTCTTAAACCCTTTCTAGTGCTAACAATAAATTAAAGCTTTTATTCCAAACACTTTGTGTTTTAGCTTATTGACTTTTTGAAGAATTTCCATGAAAGGTGCCATCAGAGGGCATTCTGTGCTGCTTCTGTAGCGGACTGGATTTAGTTACGAGAAACTTTAAAAACTGATCAATGAAAACAACGCTGATGCGACGACTACCCACTCAATAGCTGTGAAACAATAAAGTGTTACAGGTTTTAGAACAAGTAGGCTCACCCATTTCAATGAGAATATCAGAGCAGTGCTACAGTTCCACTGTGCATTTAAACAAAAACGGCACCGACATGAACAATAAAGCTACTATTCAACCCTGCCATGGCTCTGAGTAACAGAATTAAACCAACGGAACAGCAGCGGGTGGTGGACAAAAAGAGTCCACAATGTTTAGGTGGTCTTGACCAGGTCATAGACATGAATATGAAAGTCATCGTCGTATTTGATATAGTAAACCGAGGGCTTCGCTGGGACCTGGTAGATGACCAGACCGGTTCTCTTCACACCCTTGTCGGTAACATACTCCACTTGTTTCCCCACCAGGCTCTCGGTCTCTTCTCCAGGCTTCCTGTCTGCAGGCAACAGGTGCTTGTTCTCTGGAAAGGAGAGAGGGTTGTTACCTGTACTGTAATCACCTGAGGCACTCGAGATCTTTGAGACAAAAATAGTGCAAGGTGATCTATATGCCACACAGAAACTCAAAATGGTGGTTGATCTTGAAAAATCTACTCAGTCTTTAGCTTTTATTTAGTTTTCAGTACAAAGGCATTTAGCTTTTAGCTTACAGCACACTAGGAAACACAACGAAGCAGTAAGTGGGGCAAATATACCGGACCGTGCTGTTGGAAAAGGCTGCCAAACCAAACCACACCCATCCGAGTCATGACGAGTAGTGTTGCTGGAAAACCCCTTTACATGTGTGGAGGGACATTGGGCGGGCTTAGTACCAGAGCAGCGAAGGAGGACAAAAACTACAAAAATGGTGTCGGCTCAGGAACGGTGCTCGTTTGAAACGGCTTTGGGTGATTTAGACTCGGGCATTCCATTGAGACACCAGCGGACCTTTATTTTGAAAAAGGATACATTTGCTTCTTCTTTTATGTATTTTCTTTTAATTTTGGGGACAATCAAATTGTATGTGAGCAAGTTGCACAAATAAAGTAGGGAACAAGTAAAAAAACACGTTTGGATTCAAACTCAAACCACTTTTAGTAAGCTCGGGTACTGATTATTCACAGTAAATGAAATTACTTGTTTTCTGGTAAAATCCTTTAAAACCCCATAAAGTTTTCCAACTGCGGATTAACGAACATGACATCCAAATAACATAAAATGAGACGGTCTTGAAAAGGGAAACATAACTTATACACACACAGCTCTTGTTCTTATTCCCAAGGCATCAATCTGCTTCTGTTATTACCTGCTTCAGGCAAAATCCTGAGATCCCCATCAGCGTAGTCATCCCACAGCTGGTACATATAAAGAACAGGGTCCTTTTCATAAGTGATGTAATACCAGTTGGTCATAATTGGAGCTCTGGACAGGACCATTCCTCTCCACTCATTCTTCTCTCCATCCTCCTTTTCAAACAGATGCTCTACTGCTTTTCCCACCAGCTCCTCAGCTCCTGGGGGAATCTGTATTTTGTTGTTTACTGTGAGGAAACAGACACACGATAAACTCCAAGCTCACTTATGAATTACTGAAAGCGGACAGAGTAAAGCTGACTCACAGATTTTTTCTGACAAGACTTGCAGGTTGGACACCCTCTCGTCCTTGAACAACTCGATGCCGTAGACGCAGTCGAAGCCGTCGTACTTCACCATGAAGAGGGAGGGGTTCACGCTCAGCCTGTCAAGTACTGTCCCTTTCCATTTGCTTTGGTTCCCCCTCTCTCGCCAGTTATGCTGAATGCGAACTCCCACAATGCAGCTGGGATCTGGTGTCAGGGTGTCACTCAGTTCCCCACTGCTGCGCTTTCTGAACAAGATGAACAGGCCTGGGGTCAGCATTGGGACAATATGTGCAATTTATCAGAAGGAAAATGCGAAACTAATCAAAAATGCGTTCATGCCTCCACTTATTTTCCTCCAATTTGATCAGATATTATATCTTTTTACAATACAGCTTTTGTTTTACATTTTGTCAGATGCATGCTCCCCACTGATCACATGTTTTTTTGCTGCTTGAGCGATATGCATGTTTTCCTTGTCCAATTAATTATCACCGCAAAACTCAGAATCTAAACGTTGTCCTCCATCAGGATTTTGATTTATATTTATAATAAACCAATTAATTAGTCAGCGGAGTACATATTTGGTCACGATTAGCTTTATAGTGACAAACTGGCAACAACAGATGTCCTAGGGGTGTGCCATCGTAGGTACCTCATGATTCCATTTTGATTCTGGGTCCTTTGATTCGATTATATAAAGAATATCATGATTACCACGATTTTTATGCGCTTTTTCTCCCACTGTTCTTCTCACATTATAGTGTTTTCATACTTTCACGTTAACTCAGCACACATTTGGGGCAGCAGTGAGCTCAGGTGGTAGAGCGGGTTGCCTCATGATCGGAGGGTCATGGGTTCAATTCCAGCTCCTGCCAGGGGTATCCTGCTGTTGTGTCCTTGGGCAAGACACTTCACCAAACTTGCCTGTGTTAGTGGTGGTCAGAGGGGCCGACGGCGCCAAATGGCAGCCTCGCCTCTGTCAGACCTCCCCAGGGCAGCTGTGGCTACAAGTAGCTTACCATCACTAGCAGTGTGTGAAAGTGAGAGTGTGTGAAAGCATCTTTGGGTGTCTATAAAAAGTGCTATATATGTTCAATGCATTATTATTATTATTAATAATTCAAGTTATCAAATACCTTTTACTCTAGACATACTCTACATACTTTTGCATGAAATCTACAGAATGAACGTCAATAATGAAAATGAAAGTAAGCACAGGCGGTCAGTTTTGCTTTGGTAAACAGCTGAGACAGCAAACTCAGGCTGAGTACTTATAAATGACCAAAGGCTCCCTGCTGCTGCCTCAGCTTTGCAGCAAAAAAACGCCGTAGTTTTCTGAATGAGGCTGGGAAAGTTTTGTTTATCCTTCCTTGATTGTCGGCTGGTTAGGAGGAACAACCACCAGCTCTTCTTTTTCATCTACCACGTAGGGCTGGGCAATACATCGAAAATGTATCATTATCGAAATTTCTGACTCTTATCGTGATAATTTTTCCCATGTCAACAAATCTGATAACAAAATTATGAAAAGATGTGTGTAGGTTGGCAACGTTCATGTCCCTTTAAGAAGCTGTACCACCTTGACTCACGTAAAAATGTGACTCAATGCAAACATGTGACAGCCCCATCTAGTGGACAACTTTTGTTTCTGCGCATACCTGTAGTTATCGTCCATTTATCGTTATCGAGGTAAAATCCTAAATATATCGTGATATTAATTTTAGGCCATAATCGCCCAGCCCTACTACCACGGGATAAAAAACATGTAAGGTGTTGTCGCATGTTGGTACTGTTGTTGTGTTTTATTTTAGTTTTACACAATGTTCAGTTAATCGTCTTGACGCGTAAATTTCACGCTCAGTGGCTAAAGCTAATAGAAAAGCTTCAGCCATTGCTGTAGTTTTCCCGCTAGCCCACCCCAAATGTTTCCGTGTGGCATGCGTAACGTTAACCTATCTGCCGTGCTTTGCAGCTGTTTCCTCTGCATGTATTTATAATCGTTGATGAACGGTAACAAATCGATTTTGAATTGGCACGTGTCACATAGCAATGCATTGATTAAATGGTGAACCGGTACCCACCTACAATGTATACATTTGCAGAAAAAAATAGTTTTTCGAACTTAAAAGTCAAAATACATAAACACCTAGACACGTTTTTCTTCTTTGATGTTTTTTTTTAAGTGAGATAAATGTCCCATTGGTTTACAGAGAGAGGCTGGAATTGAACAATTATACTGCAGCCAGCCACTGGAGGGCGCGCCTGTTTCCTGTGGCAGAACATTAAATTAATATTGACCCATTTTAGGTTGTTAGGGCATTATCATAAAGAATTAGACTCCTACATACCTGCCCCTTTTCTTGGACATGCCTTTAGAAATTCAGTGACCACTATTGGAGAGAGAGAAAAGAGATGGTTAAAGTTCAATTTTACATCAGCAACTCGAGATGTTACATTTTCAGCCAGTCCCTCTTTTCTCGGCAAAACAGGGTGTAGAAGAACGTGTGAGAGGCTGCAGGCTGTTCAAAAAGACCGACAAGGCCAACAACCAATAAGCTGGCAGGATGAAGTAACTTCCTGAGTATTTAATAAGCCTGTATAGCCATGGAGGTCACTCAAATGAACAGTAGTTACAAGCAAACATGAGACTGGGATATTTAATTAATACGTCATTAAATACCTGGGTAACCTGGCTGGGGCATTTGTCATCTAAACCGGTCTCTGACGAGCTGAAATGGCGACATTTGTACCTGACTTGTTAAATTACACACACAAAATAAAAAACAAAACAAAAAATCGAGCGTGTGAGATTCATCATTATACAACTCGTTCAGTGGCTTACTTTCCCCGAAATAGAAACACCGCTACACGCTTTGGGTTATTAACACTGATCCGTCTGTTCTTTGTCAATGCAGATGTTACTGAAGGTAAAGCGGAGGCGTTCAGCCAGCCACAGCCGCGAGCCCGGTCTCCGTGACAGCAGCTAGCAAACACGGCTAATTAATGAGTGTTTACAGTCCTAGTCCCTGTGCGGAACCATTTAATTACCTTTAAGTAGATTTCATGTCAGTAATTGATCAGTTGCTTAACTGAGAAATGTTGCCCACACACGAACCCGCAAAATCTCGCGAAACTATGGAAAATGGGAGCTGGGCGTCATGGGAGGAGGGGCCTCTAGTTCTCAGGAAGTGTACCCGGAAGTAATCGCGCAGAGAGTTTTGGGTTTTGGTGTTTAACAAAATTTGTTTTGTTTTTTTTCTCTCGACAGCTTTGTGAAAATAAGAGTGTACCAGCAGTGATACTGAATATGCACATTGAAATCAAGCTTGTTTAGTGATAACAAAACCCTTATAAGGGCACAAGGGAAGTAAACATTTGAAGCAGAACATTCATTTTAAAGCACACGTAACCAGTGTATTCTATGAGAGTGGAGCCTGGTGAGAAATAATGGAAATGTGTGGAAATAGTTTATCAACTAAAATGATTACGAAGGTCAAAAGGAGCACATTTGAAGTTAGGACAAACCTTCCAGAAGTGACCGAGTCCAGCAGAGGGCAGCAAAACAAAGTAATCCCAGTTTGTGCTAAAACTGGGCACCAGTTTACACATCTCAGACTATGGTCTGAGATATATACGTATATGTATATATATATATATATATATATATATATATATATATATATATATATATATATATATATATATATATATATATATATATATAATGTGTGTGTGTGTGTGTGTGTGTCTGTGTAATTTGATGGTCACATATTTTTCTAACTGTACTCTGCAGTAGGGAGGTGGCAAAATTAATTAAGACAGTTGCAGTGAAGTATCATGCTGTTTTAAATAATGGTAAAACAGTATGGAACCCGCTCCGCTTCAATTTAAGCACATGAGATCGATTGTCGATGACCCATCTAATGAACGTCTGCATGGTTTAAAAATTCAAGCTACAGCCAGCTCTCAGATATCACCGATGGTTCGTAAAAGCACCACTCAGGTTTAAACAAAACAGAAACATTACATTGTCAGTCACCGCGATGTTGAACAAATGTTTAGAGAAGCCGAACAATCTCCCATGTATCATTGTTTACATAGTTGACGCAGTTTACATAAACTCTCTTCCTCTTGCTTGTCCTCAAGACTTTCCTGGAAAGGATGGCACGTTGTCGTCCCCTGGAGTCACAGATTCTGATTGGTCACAGATTTTGGTGTAACACTGGCAACCCGCTAGCCTGGCAAGCCAGACTATATATGTGAATATATAGTATATATATATATATATATAATATAATATATACATACTTTGCAAAGCAAGAATTTGGTCTAGTTCACTAGGCTAGCAACCTGCGGCTCTGGAGCCGCATGCGGCTCTTCCATCAATCTGATGTCCATCTGATGCTCTCTGTGCTTGTAAAATAAACAGTTCCACTGTTATGTTTTCTTGTGAAAATTGTTGCAAACAGATCAAATTAAACTTGATTAACACCAGAGCCAGGCGCTCTGCGTCGTTATCTCAGTCACTGTAAATGAGGGGAAAACAAATAGATCAGATCCTTTTCTTACCTTCAATTCAGTTCAATTCAAGTTTATTTAAATAGTGCCAGGGGCGGCGTTAGGGCCGGCTACTTGGGCTGAAGCCCCAAATGTTTTATGAAAAGCCCCGGATCCAAAACGTGGAAGTAACGTGCAGTACCAACGTCCACAGAGAGGGAGCAGCTGGCAGTAGTTTGTATACAGCCTGCCTGAGCCTCCACCACTGAAGAAGAAGCCCTTCAGCAGCCGGCTTCTTCTACAGTCTCTGTCTGAAACACGAGTGAAGATGGACATAAGGACGTTTTTTAGACAAAAAGTACAACGACAGAACCCCAGCTTTGATGATACTGGTGTTGACTCAGGTTTGTGAGTCTTTATTTCAAAATATTTGTTGTGCTGCTGGTTTGCCTAAAGTTAGCTCACTATCAGGTAAAGTTGTTGGAGAAAGAAAGGGAATATTTACTATCATCTCACACTAAACACTAACAGGAACAATACTCTGCCCTGAATATGCTTACTGTAATATGTAGCTTCAGATTAAAAATTATGTGGTACAAGACAAATATATATGATGTTGACTAGTGCGTGTCACGTGTGTGAGTGCGCGCGAGTGTGTGTGTTAAGCCCCGGATCTTCTTCAGTCCTAAATCCGCCCCTGAACAGCGCCAAATCACGACAAGAGTCGTCTCAAGGCACTTCACATGGTAAACATTCCAATACAGGTCAGTTCAAAAAGTTTCCTGCAGCAAATTGCATCTTGCATCTTTTCAGCAATCCTCATACTAAGCAAGCATTTAGCGACAGTGAAGAGGAAATTTCCCTTTTAACGGGAAGAAACCTCCAGAGCATCCTAGCTCAGCAGCCATCCACCATGACTCCCTGGAGACCCACCTACAAAGTTTAATTACAACAATCAAGACAGAGCCTGGATTTGTATTCTGAACAGTTTAAACATGTTTTTAAAAAGAAACATGTGTGACAAAAGTGGCACCTTCAGTAAACCACTAACAGGTTGAACAATATCTAAATACTGTAGGCAGAGACGGGCTACAAAGTCTGGATTCATTGTACACAAATTGTTTTATTGATTATCTTCTGTTGAAAGATAAATTTGACGTATCGAGCGACCGGTATTGGCTGCTGTCACCTGTTGTGATTGGTTAAAGCAGCTCTTGGCTGCTGTGGCTCCCAGTGTTTTCTTTAATGTGGTTATTTGTAGCAAGGTGGATGCAAAATAAAATATAAACATAGACAGTTGGGAAAAGAGCGAGGTAGAGGGGCCGCAGCGGCCAAAGCATAGAAAACATTTTGTTCCTTCATCCCCAGAAATCTCACTCTGAACTTTTCTTTTAACTTGAGAGCTCTGTTTTTGACCAAGGCTAGGCTACAAGACACCTCCTGTGTATCCTTGCCCAGCTAGCTAGCTAAACGGCTTACATCATGATTGTTTTTGGCATTCTGGCTGTGCTCATTTGGGTCTTCTGGAGCTTCTCTCACAACATGAGGAGCAAAAATGACCAGAGGAGATGTGAGCGACACATCCAAATCTTCACTATTGAGAGGTTTGTGTCTGCTTCCAAATAAATTAATCTGATTATTGTTTTCTTTAATGTCTTGGCAAACTAATTTCGTGAAAGTGATTGGGCGTTAAAATCTTACCATTTTTATCTATTGAACTGTATCTTTTCTCCAGGAGGCCCAGCGCTTTTCCTCCATCATATGAAGAGTCCCAGAGTCAAGTCTGTCCGAGCAATCCACCTGAAGTGATGGTGTCCATCAACAGGGCGGACATGTTTCTTGCACCGCCGCTGTACAGCCAGGACAGTTCTGACGTCAACGACTGCAGGTGGTGTTGGGAGCATCCACCTCGATACAGTCTAGTTGTGCAGACTCCACACAGACAGGTGTATGCAGGTGCTGCGGAGGGATGTCTCCTCAAACTGAACGAGGAAGTGTCATTGATCAGAAAGGAATAAAGACGAAAGAGAAACTCCCATGCAAAATGTTTGCAGGTGTTTGTTTCATTTAATGTGTGTTGACGGTTTTATTTCTGAATCCCTAACAAGAGGAGGAACTGCACTTTGGAGAAAACGGTTTGGTGGAGTCCTAACTTCTATTTGCACCGTGGCTGCAGTTTGTATTTAAGCTGTCATTATTCTGTATGTTTACAAGTTTTTTGTACAAATACGTACTTGATACTTTTATTATATGTTTTGTCTGTTTGTCATGTTAACATGGCTTGTCTTTGTTTAAATTTAGTATATATATATATATATATATATATATATATATATATATATATATATATATATATATGCAAAAATTAAAAACAGCATTTTTTTCACTAATAATTTTACCCAATTACAACGTCCTTATATTTAAGACAAACACATTAAAACACATAGAATGATGCCACAACAGAAACATTTGGTAAAAATACTGCAGTAAAAAGGCTTTCTGCATTTGTGCTTTGAGACATTTTGCTGAACTCTGACTTCATTTTATAGATGCATTTATTCATTTACAGCAATTGCTATTTTGCACACATATCATGACAGCACAAATAATAATCTGCAATGTCTGCTGACATGTTGATGAAATTAAGTAGTTTAGACCCTTAGGAAGCAGTTGGCTGGTGGAACCCAAAGACAAAAACACACTGAGAAATCTTTTTTTTTAAACTTATTTCTGAAATTCAATGGGCCACACTGAAGGCCGCATGCAGGTTGAACGTCTCAGCTAGTAGAAGCTAACCATTAGCATTAGCAACTGTACCACACACCAGAACTCCTTCAGAAATGTACTTTTCGTGGAGATGAAACAACAATGCCGAGCAAATGGGGGCAGTGGAAGAGTCACATTTTTTTCATGTTCTCTTAGAATGTCATGGAAATTAATGAGTAAGACTCCAGATCCTGCTGGAAATATATTGAATAAACAAGTGAACGAGATCCCTAGCCTTATCGTTTAACTAGTTCAATTAGTGTATTTTAAATTAGATCTTAAAGTCTGTTTTATGGTTTCAGTTTTTGCTCGCCCCTAAAAAGCATTATGCAGAATTGTTTTTAAAAACGTTGGGAAATTATCATTAGAGCCATCTAAACTAAGCCTAGTTGCAGACCCAGATTTGCAAACTACTTTAAGCTGCTGAAGCACAAAGTGTCACTTTTGAGCCAGGAGGAGGTCAGGACCCAAGATGCAGAAACCCAGAACACCACAAGGCAGGAGCGTAGTAAAACGTAAAATCCTTTTATTAGGAGTCAATGTCCAAAAATCCAGAAATCCAAGAAGGGGCAGGAAGAAGCCTGAAGTCAGTAACCCAGCTGACAAAAACAAAAAGCTCTTTGATGAGCAAAACCTAGAGTTTCACAAGGAGGACCAGAACAACACTGACAATGACAATGGACCAACAAACACTGAGAGACACAGACAGGGTTATATACACAGGGCTGGGTGATAGGAGACAAGGAGCAGGTGCGTGGGGAATAGGGCACAGGTGAAACTAATGAACTGAGGGAAGAAGCAGAAATAAGCAGGGGAGACAACCATATCTAAATCCTAAACCAAAGCTACTAACCTGAACTTTAAACACTGTAGAACAAAGACTAAAGATAAATAAACTAATGATACGTGAAGTGACTAAAGGGAAACCTGAAGAAGCTGGGGGGCACAGAAGATTAGGGAACTCATGAGGGGAACCAGGAGGGGGCTGGGAACCACAGGGACACAGAACATGACACAAAGACTGATTTTCTGATTTTCATTCAGCATGATGGACTTTAATATATTTATTATCAGACCTCCAACTTAGTGTCTCTAAATCAGGGGTACTCTGATTTAGATGGTTCGAGGACAACTCAACAAAACAAAGGTCTGGTTCAGAGTGGGTGGGTCTTCGGTAAAAGACCAGTCTGTACCACAAACATGCCAAAGGAACAGGAGATGGTACTCTCAGTGATGAGACAGGGTTCAGTCCCTGTGGTGCCTTGCTCATTCATCAGTTCATTTTTCTTCTTGCTTGATTTCTGTTCAACATCTCAGAATGCAACATCATTCTGGCTACGGTGTTTGGTTCAAACTTTCAGCAAACATGTTTGTTGTGTCAGAGGGCAATCTCAAACTTGCTCACAAACAGGTCAAAAGTATCCGATCTTGTCTGTTTGGCGCAAAACATCCACATAATTTTGTTCTATGAGCAAAGTTTAAATGAGAAAAGCCATGGCTAAAGCATACTGTTAACCATAGACATTATAAACAATAAAGTCTGCATTGGCTTCAAGAAATGTGGCCGCCATAAGCAGCAGTGGTTGATGCAGCGTCTACTTATTACTGTACATGTCTATGCTAGTAACAACAGGCCTTGCGGTGCGTTCTGTTTACCTCAAAAGAAAACACACCTACATGTAACATTGATGTTAGATGCACCTTTATAAGTTTTATATGTTTTCACCACAGCTACTGTTGTCATGGGGAGTGCCATACAGAACCTCAAAGCTGGACTTAAAAAAATTCTAAGATTTTCCAAGTGGGAGATCTGATTTTATGGGGCAATCCAGTTTATTTTTCCTACTAAAAAGCTGGGATATCCGAGTACCGAGGACAAATGGAACGCACCATGAATACAAGAGAAAATCAAATCTGGAAACTCTAGCTCATCAGCACTAGTACATGAATGTGTGTGAATGGATGAATGCGCTTTCGAGTCCTTTGGAGATGCTATACAAGTTCAGGTCATTTATCAGTTATTTGCACAGAGAAGGTGGGACTTGAAACTTGTACTGGAGCCAGCCACTAGGGGCATCATAATTGTACTGATATCCACTCAAAAGTAAACAAACTTCACTCTGACTTTAAAGGGCGTCTTCCATGTTAAACACTTGAAGCCCTTATATTGTAATCAGAATCAGAATCAGAATCAGAAGAATTTTATTGCCAGCGCTCCTTTCAGAGCGTAGGAACTTGACTCCATGGTACAACCTGACCAAGGTTACACACACACACATATAAACAAGACAGATACAGGCAGATCATGGGAGCAGCCATAACGGCGCTCCTTTGTAGATGAGTAAGGGGATACATGAGGGAAGTTCAGGGAGGGGGAAAAAAGGCATTAACAGGGTTACACCAGCAGGGTGAAGCCCTCCAATGCAAAAAAAACACCCGACATGTAAGCAACAAACGTCACAGTTCACACCATGAGACTCGGTAGGTAGGGGGGAGGGGCTGGGATCCTGGTTTCCTCAGCGTGGGGCGGCCCGTTGTGGCGCTCAACCAGCTGTCTCCGCAGGGGGAGGGAGGTCATGAGGAAGCATAGAGAGCAGTGAGTCCTTCAGCTTGATGACCTCGGAGACCACAATCTGAAGGCGAGGGGGTGGGGGGTGGGGGGGGTGGGGGGTGGATAGAGATTCACAGCATTTGTCAGCATTCCTTCCAGCGTGGGGGTTTTGCATGCAACTCCAAGGCTGCTTATGGCGTCAGATTCGATAACAGAAACTTTGTTTGGGTCAGACAGAGATTATTTTTCCTCTCTGCCTTAAGTCTGTATTGATCATTCAAGTCCTCCAGTGAAGCCAATTAGGTGATTAAACATCTCCACACCGTCCGGTGACCCTTTCCGAGATGTTATCAATCCTGCGCGCTAACACCGGTAACGCAGCTAAGACATTGTCCAGCTTGCGATTCACCTCGAGCAACGTCCCAGTCTGTGAGGTATCCACACGGACGGTGCCGTCCATGGATGCGGGTCGCCCTCCAATCGCTCCCGTCATCCCAATTTTACGGAAAGCCAGATATCCTCCCACTCCAATAACAGGTCTAAACTTTATATTTCCATTAAAAAAAAGAAATATATTTGGAAAAAAGGTGATATTACTGTTCCAACTAGGCTCTGCTAGCTCATCCATCTAAAAACAGCGCCTCTTGCCAGAAACTGGAAGTGATGTCGCTCCAGGAATACGTTCCTGACACTGCGCAGAAAATAAATGGGCAGCAGCAGCATGAAGCTCCAGATTCGTAATATGAATACAAATTTATGTTAAATACTGAAGGTGTGCACACCCATAAAGTGTTGAGCCAGAACTAAGATGGGAACAGGCAAAACAGTGATAATTGAAATGGTGAAAGAAGAGCTGCTGAAGCATGGGAACTTCAAAACGCACACAAAAATGCTAACTGGTAAGGGCATTTTTTATTTAAAGTGGCAGTATGTATTTTCCCTGGTGATGGGGGCAGTACATACCTAAAGGACTGCAATCAAGCAGTATTTTTTTTGTTCAAGTAAGATCGTACCAACGGATGGCCATTAGGGTCAAAAATCCCTGGGAGTGTAACCCCCAGCAAAATGACAAGCTCATCAGACTCCCCTTCATCACTGGCAAAGAGCGAAGAGGTAAATGTGTAAAACAACAATGTTTATGAATGATGAAAATTTTGTAACCATTTGTTAAATGTGTTTTGTTCTCATGGGTTTCCGTAGTAGGAAATATGGCATCCAATATGGCTTCGCCCAGAGACTTAGGGTGTTTCTCAGTGTCAAGGCACCTGGCCTTGCAAGGCAATGTCTTGCAAGGCCAGGTGCCTTGCTTACGAGGACACTGTCCTTCCTTGGTCAAAGAAGATGGTTAAATGGAACAGACTTGCGTCACGTGACCGCGGCCTCCGCGGCGGTCATGTAACACGGGAGACAACTCTATATTTTATATGTATTATTTTCAATATAAATATTTAACAAGCTTTTTACTTTTTAAATTGTGTATATACTTGGTAAACTAAATATTTAAGTGAGGCTTCTGATCCGCCATCTTTTTGAAAATACTTCAATGTATTCTGGGCAATTTTTGTTTTAAGAAAATGAAGGCAAAATAACCATACCTGGACTTTAAAATTAAGACAGATTTTACAAGATTACAGTTAATTTAAACTAGATTAAACTGATTGAAAGTTTTCAGTATAGATCATAAAATAAAAAGGAAAGTGATCTTAAACGTGTATAAAATGATACAAATCACTCAGTAACTGCACTGGCTCCGTCAGCTTGCAGTGACCTAATTTCACCAATCTATCCATTTGTTTTAATAAAGAGTGTTTTCAATTTTTATAATTTCAGCTGCTTTCCAAATAGTTTACCAAGAAAATATATGGTAAATATTCTAACATTATTTGTTTGTTGTCTCCCATTCAGCAGAACAGGAACTTATCAGTTTGTTTTATAAAAACTAAGTCCCACAACTTGTGGAATGGCAGTTTTTTTAAGCTGTAAAATCTCAAGAAATACTTCAATAATTTTACACTTTTACTCAACAGCTAAAATCTCCTACAGGACTGAAATTCACAGTACAGTTTGCATGTTTAGATCAGTCTCTATTTGCAATTGTGCTATTAACATTTTCCAGTTTATTACAAAACGTTTCAATAAACAAAGACATGTCCACAATGAGCAGAATGCATCCTGTTTTTGGAGCGGGAGGGCTCAAATCCTCAATGCCTTGCCCACAACACTTTATTTGAAATGGATTTTCAATGTTTGTTTTTTTTTTTTAACAAAAAATGTCTATTTTTCAGTCGTATGCTAGAATTTGTTATTTGGTTGTTCAACACAATGACTTAAATTCTTAAGTGGTGAGTGGTGAAGGTGAGAAAACATGGATTTTGTCTTTTACATTCTGCTTAAAATGTTATCTTTTTTAGCCTTTAATTTAAAAAAACATCCCTAAATATCAATAGTTTCTCTCACTCGTGAGGTAATTCAACATGGGAACACTTCATTTACCCAATAAACCTGTGATACAACAATTCCCTGATCTAATTGATCTAATTGTTGGTTAATACACTTCTGATCCAGTCCGTGAAGGAGGAAACCCTGGTGTAGACGTCAGGGGTCCTGGTGCTTCCACATTGACGTCCAGAGAAGGAGACGATGCCTGTTGAAGCTCCATCACACACCAACGGACCACCTGAATCCCCCTAAAGATAACATGACACCAAAGCATTCAAGATTTATTATAATCAATGTGATGTTTGATGCTGTAGCATGCTTCTTGTGACAAGTCAGGGGATTTTCTCACCGAGCAGAAGCCCTCATTCCTCCTATTGCCAATGGCACAAACCATTGAAGCAGCAATCGGAACTTCCCTCCATCGTCTTTGACATGACCTTTGTGACAAAACAGTGACGTTGAGCTCTTGAAGCCTGTTTGCTAAGGTTTCGTTATCTCCTATATCTCCCCAGCCTGCTGTGATGCAGCGACTTCCTGTTGTCAGCCGGCTAGACCTCAGAGGGATCAACTTCACTGCTTCGGTGAGCCGCGCCCGGCCACTCAGCTGTTGTGTGAAACGTTGTTCTGCATTAACAATCATTCATTATTAAGTTACGGGGTTGAAAGATAAGACGATATAGATTACCTTAAGCAGCATGATGTCGTTTTCAAGTTGACTGAAGTTTGAATGTGGAATGGATCGAAGAACAGGGATTTCCTGCTTACTTGACTCATCGCCACTCAGAGAATCAATTCCAAGCACAACTGTGTGCGATCTGGAAATGACAAGAATGCATGTTCACTTCAAGCATTCCAGTGGAAAAGTTTAAAACGAAACATCTTTGTTAAATTAATTATGTGTTCTTTTGAATATAATGAATTTGTTTAAAGAAAAAAAGTGAAAAGAAGGAAAAAATGATTTCTGCTGTTTGGAATTGGAAAAAGACTGAAAAACACAACTTTATGCTTCATCCCAACAGATTTAAGTTCAAATTAAAGTTGATGTCTTGTCAAAAAGCCAGTAAAATCATTTTATGCTTGCATTAAAGCTGAAATTTGATGTTGAAAAAAAAAAAGAATAAAAGTCTGAATTGTAGTGACTTATTATACAATAAATAAATCAATAACATCTCTTTGTACACCCCAAAAATTATAGGAATAAATTTGGGAATGTTGTGCTTATTAACAAAAAAAATAAATATGCCTTACACTGGTAGTTGACAATGTGCTGCTGTAAGAACAAAGTCCTCTCTAATGAGGACTCCTCCACAGAAATGTTGACCATCGACTTGCAGTGAGGCCATAAATGGGAGAGAGTGGGGTGCAGCATCTTTGCCTCCAACAATATGTGATCCATAAGCACCTGGAATAAACAAGAAAAAAGCTTGGTTAAAAAAAGTTTTGTTGCATTAAAACAGCCTGCACTTTAGATTTCAGCTTACCGTTGAGGGCAGAGAGCAGGAGAAGTATAACACTGACTGCCATGGTCTTCATCAACCCGGAGCCTCGGCTCTCCTGCTTTTATAATTTTTGAAGACGACATCTTCCTGTTTCTGCACCATTGTTGCTTCAGGAAAGTTTCCAACGTGCTGTAGCCTTTTGGTTAAGTTGCTGAAACTTACAAAAGGAAAGGTTTCAAGATTTTGTTTCATAAGAACCTCTGCAACACCTTGATGGTTATGATTCAGCAAAATGCACATTTCTTCTTACACAAAGCACTCAAGACGTGTCTGTGTGCTTTACTTATGTCAGTTTCTATTTCTCAAAAAGCATCCCTTAAGAAAAAAATTTCAAAGTATTTCTATATTAACATAACATCTTTTTAAAAAGAGTTTAGTGAGGAATGAGTCGGGGTTGCTGTAACTCTCACTCAACACTTGAGTTTCTCAGTTGGGTACGTTTGGCATTTCTGGTTCTTTTAAATTGTTCAGTCTAATAACTGTTTTCCCTTTTTACATTTTTCTGCAAAGATATCAAATTTAAAAATTGAAAATGGAGAAACTGCGTTGGAGACCCAAGAAGAGCCAAACTAATTGTGTGTATGTGTGTGTGTGTGTGTTTGAGCGTGCGTGCGTGTGTGTGTGTGTGTGTGTTTGAGCGTGCAAACGTGTGTGTGTGCGTGTGTGTGTGTGTGTGTGTGCGCGTGTGTGTGCTTGAGCGTGCGTATGTGTGTGTGTGCACGTGTGAGTGTGTGTGTGAGTGTGTGTGTATGTGTGTGTGTGTGTGTGTGTGTGTGCATGTGTGTCGGTTGGAAGAAAAATAGAAGCAGCGCTTGAAAGCATTTTACTTTATTTTCTATTTCAACGTAAGCGCAAAAGCTGACAGAGTGACAGAAATAATTCATAATTTTGTCTTTATTACGAAAGCTTTGCTGAGTGAAATCATTGTAAAAGTGTTTTACACACACTTATTTTCTCTCAGAACATTGTGAATCCATGGGAGATACTTGGAGAGGTCTGTATAGACATTCGGTACGTCTGGGTAGTCGCAGTTGTCATGTCTGTTAGAAGACACAACCCCAACAGCTTCCCCGTTGCACACCAGTGGACCACCTGAGTCACCCTGTTTAGAGGAAGATAATTCACTAAATTTTTTTTTCCATTTGACAAATGATATTCAGATAATTTGATACCAGAAACCAGAGGATGTACCTGACAGAATCCCTTTTTAGTGCCAAATCCACCAGCACAGATGACGTTACGAGGAAGATCATTTCCCCACATCTCCTGACAGATTGGTGGATCTATGATGGACACGCTCACCACTCTCAGCTCCGTGACACCATAGCGGTGAGTTTCTGTCTTTCCCCATCCAGCCACAGAGCACGTCTGATTTTCCTTCAGATTTGTTGCAGAATTAGGAAGTGGAATTGTTTTGGTTTTGCTGTTTAGAGGAGCCCTCTCTGCCAGCTGAGGAAAGACAAAAGTAGAAACCAAACTCACCATTTTATTCATTTTTTCACTCATTCAACTACAAACATCTGGAAACCTGTTGACAATTCATGTTTCACAGTATGACACAGCCTCAAATCAAAGTTTGTTTTTCCCATGGGATCATTATTAAAACTTTATTAACAGAGCATCACTAGAAAACAGTTTTTGAATAAATATGAACTTACTTTAACAAGCATGATGTCATCGTCGTGTCCTACACTCCAATAAGCTGGGAACTTGCACGTATATTCAATACTGATTGACTTGGCTTCTTTGAGATCGTGGTGTCCCAGACGAACGTGCTGAAGACTAAAGAGTTGATCGTTGGAATGTTATCTATAAATTTTGAGACTATTTTTACACTTGATTAATCACTATAAATGTAAACTTGCGCTGCGTGATCGCTACAGTGTGCTGCAGTTACCACAAACTCTTCACTGATTAGAAATCCTCCACATTCGTGACCCGAATTGCTTTGCAGTGAGACCATGTACTGCATTGAGTCCTCTGGAGCTTTTTCTCCATCTATGATCTCACTACCACCGACTGAAAAATAAACATCAGGTTAGTGACTAAATCATAGTTTCAGAATAAGAAATAAGATTTGATTCCTTACCAGTTTGTGCGAAACACACCAAAACACCAAAAAGCAGAAGTTTATTCAGCCCGTGCATGCTGCCAGTGACTCTAGCTTATGCTCTCGGGAATGTAAAGATGGGCTTTTTATAGGACAACTTGCTGAGAAACTTTCCTTTCAATCCAAACTGACCAAAGCATCTAAACCACTTCTGCGATAAAATATTGTGCATGTATTTATTATCTTTTACAATCTCTCAACCATCGTCCGTGTTAGACTGCCATCGTCTCTAGTGAGTGTGAAATTAGTTTCTTAAACCCTATCGCATTTTTATCTTGCAAAGGAGCAACTGATAATAAATTCACCACATCTCTTCCCCAGAGAAAAATCATTTGCTAAAAACAATAAATGCATCTCAACTGCTCAACATGTTAACATTTTAAGCAGGTGAGCAGCAGCAGACTACAGCAGGTCCTACCCAATAGTTGCACAAATGTCTTTTTAACACAATGCTTAGCACAGTAAAAGAAGATACAGTGTGATATTTTCAAATGTATTAAAACATATGTAACTGCCAGTGCTATGGCCCCTGCCATTGGGAGAAACAAAGTACTCGACCTGCAGGCAAGCAGGTGTTGCTGCGCAGGTGCAACCAGATGATTGGGTTAGAGCCCTCCTGCCTCTTCATTAACCTGGCTGTGTGCAGCCTGTAATTGCACCGTGTGGCTGCGCCTGTGGGTGCAGCATAAAGCCTGCTGGGTGCAACTTTAGAAAGAGTTCAGAGTGATTGTGGAGATCACCTGTGGAGAGCTCCTGCCATAGTTGCATTTTGGTGAGGTATTTTGGAGGCCAATTTTAATAAAATATTTGCACCACGTGTCCAGTTCTCTTTATGTTGTGGTCCCATGAGCCGGGCTGTCAAAGTAAGGTAAACAATGATTCTGTTTTATTTAGAAAAACCAATAAAATTTCCCATAACTAAAATTTAACTAGTGCATTTCTCTCACACTTTGTCTCCTTTTAGAAAATTCTTCTCAGTAACGTTTCCTCTCGTCTGTCACTCAGAAATGCACTGTTAAACAGCACATTTAGATATTATTTGCCTCCATAAGGTAAATAAAATCGGGTGATGGTGGCCCAGGAGTTAAGTGCTCCCCCGTAGTCAGAAGGTTTCAGGTTCAAGCCCCGCTCAGTCTGTCACTGTCATTGCGTCCTTGGGCAAGACACTTAACCCCCCTTGCCTGTGTACGGCAGATTCACGTCTGTCAGTGTGCCCCAGGGCAGCTGTGGCTAATGTAGCTCATCACCACCAGGGTGTGAATGCGTGTGTGAATGGGTGAATGACTAATTATGTTGTAAAGCACCTTGAGGGGTTCCAGGACTCTAGAAGGAGTTATAATCAAATACAGGCCATTTACCATATTAAATAAATAAATAAAACAGATGGTTAGGTGGAGAGCTTATTAAGCAGTCCAATGACGTGTGGTGGGTATATCCCATGAATATGATTATGTAGACATAATTTAGAAAAACAAGATATAGCTATTTTATGTTTTTATTTGAGGGCTGTGGTGGCGCAGTGGTTAGCTCTGAATCAACTCTTCAGGACACCACCACAGAAACACAACATCCTCTGATACAGATTCAATATGCTAATCTACTCGGTCTTCTCCATTTGGCCACAGGTTCTCATCCACATCACATCTTATGTCATCTAGGGCAACACACCTAGGAAAGAATCTTCTGGCATGCCTGATCCATCCCTGGTAATCTACTACTGAAATGTCCAGGCATCCAGCATACATTGCATCCAGAAGGTACATTTGATCGTGTGGATGATGGTCGTACACCTTCCACTGCCATGAGGCAAAGAATTCCTCTATGGGGTTGAGGAATGGAGAGTAAGGTGGGAGGAAAAGTGACTCCATTCTGGGATGGGCCACAAACCACTCTGTGACTGCATGGGAGTGGTGAAATGCCACATTGTCACATACAATTATATATGTTGGTGTTGACTACTTTTATAATGACATTGAAAGTGTAACACCTGTGCAGCTTTTCATCTACAATTAGAGTCAGCTGTGGCTGGTTAAACTGCATTTATGTTTCAATAACATATTGCTGTTGGATGTTGCTGTCACATTCAGTTTTGCAGTATGTTTTTGTTTTGAACATAAGTTTTACAGTTTTGTGAACAGTATGTAAGCAAGTGCTAAATGTCCTGTTAGTACAATGGTTTTTGGCAGTTGTTGTGTCTGAGTGAGAAGGGACTTCATGACATTTGAGAGATGTAGTCACTCAGTGCCTTTTGTGCCAAAGCAATGATAATTGATCCTCAGTTTGGCCCACATAGACTTCTGTTGTGCACACTGCATGTAGAGTTTTGCTAATGTGACCTAAGTATTGAGAAATGGGTCCTAACGTCTGTAAAAAAAAAACTGTAACACTGAAAGTTTGCATGTCTGCAAATACTATAATCTTTCTTCATCTTCTAAACTGGGTCAGTACGATGCAAACCTGATGATTAGCCCATCAGTCCCAGATAACTTGACTGTAACTGTCATGTTGACACCTACTTTGTGAGTTGCTGCAACAGACGCGTTAGTAAATAGGAGAAGTAAACTGTGATCAAAGAGCAGGATGCAACTTTTCATTGTGATGACAGCAGCTCACCTTGTGTCCTAAATGCAAAGCAATTGCAGTAGAATGTTTACATTTTAAAAGTGCTCTGGGGTCTGCTCAAACATTAGAACTTCATGACAATTCTCAAAAAGTTGTTTGACACATTTTCCACTCTAATCTAGTTTAGTTAACATCAGGTCTATGCACAAAAAACGTCTCAACAAAGAGGATGTTCAGAATAAATAAAGGTCAAACTGTACAAGATAAACACAGAAAATGTGTTTGGGTGCACCCATAGTGCAAGTTGTCTCACGTAAAATATGAGAGGTCTGTAACGTGTATCCTAGGTACACTTCAACTTTGTGAGACAGAATGTAAAAAAATCACATTATAATATTTTCTCAATACCAAAAGTTAACCTCAATAAATGGTAAAATGGTGAATGGCCTGTATTTGATATAGTGCCTTCTAGCATTCTCCAACCCCCCAAGGTGCTTTACAACACAATCAGTCATTCATCCACGCGCACACACACATTCACACACTGGTGATGAGCAACAATGTAGCCACAGCGGCATAGGGGGAACAGGGTCCATCTTGGCTCATCAGACCAGTTTATTTTATTTTTTTTTACCGTGTCCTGTCTGGCTGTGAAGCAAGCAGAATTGATGTCTGAATGCTGGTAACAAGCCTTACAGATTTATTCTCAGGTGGAGCATCAAAGCGTTTGCTTTTAATGTCACGCCTGATACTTAAAACTTTATTGTTATTGTTGTTGAATGCTTTGTAATTCCGACCAGACACGGAGACAGAGGTGAAAGAGAAAGGAAGAGAAAAGGTGGAGAGAGAGGAGGGGGGGGGGGGTTCCACAAAAATAAACAATGAACAAGAGTCTGCTTCTAGACCTGCAGAAAAAGACAAAAAAAAAAAACAAAAGGACACAAAAAAGGGACACAACAACAATACAACAAGATCTACCTATCACTGCGTCAACTTGATGGAAAAAAACAAAAACAAAAACAATTATATATATATATATATATATATGTATATATATATATATATAGATATACAATCAACATTGCTTAACTGAAGAATCACGATAATAAATCACAATGCATTAAGTGCCCCCCATAGTCTTAAGACCTGTGTTGAACGTGCCCAAGCCCATACTTTTGAGAGCACCATGTGAGCACCTGTGTGTGTACACGCTTTTGTTTATTTAAGGTTTCTCTATAGGAGCGTCCAACAGAGAGTGTGAGGGACCACAGATCCGCCCCCCAAAGATGCGCAGGAGACGGGGGGAGCTCCAAGTCCCAGAGATCCAGGCGTTGCCCCAGAATGCAGGAACCCCAAGGAGACTGCAACCAGAAAGGCCCCCGCCCCCCTTGAGAGGCATAAAGGATCGCCCCGGGGGGCCACAACCAGCAGCCGGCAGAGTCCCGGGAGATATCAGCGGCAAGCCCACAGGCCTGCCCGCAGCCTCCCACCCCCTAGCCGGCCGAGCCCGGGACCCAGTGACCCGGGACCCAGGGGTGACCACCCCCGCCGGGGACCCAGCAGAGCCCAGGGACCCAGACCCAACCAGGCAGCCACCGGGATCTATCAGGCAGATGCCAAAATCTTAAACCCCCAGACCCGGTTGCCACGAACACTCAGGCAGACCATGGCACAAGCCCCCACACCAGGTGTGGCAGGGGGAGGGGGGACAAAGATCTATATCATCAAGAGAAGTTCCAGGAGAGGGGAGGACCCAAAGGCCCCACCTGACATATACAGTCATACACAAACACAGTCACACACTCCCTCCCTCATGCTCACACATGCACATACAACCCAAGACTTACAAAAATGCACGCCGGACACTCACTCATGCTCCCCATACACACCCTATTAACTCTGGTCCCGGTACTGCTGCACATTGGGTACAACCATCACCGGTAACCAGAATTTGACCCTTTCTGCTGGGGTGCTGATGAGCAGGCTCCCCCGCCCAACACTGAGCACAGCAACCCACCACCCCAGACCCCAACCAGACGGCCAGATCTCCCTCCTAGCCTCCAGCCCCAGGAAGCCTAGCAACAACAGAGGTGGCTAAGACCCCTAGTCTCCCTCCACCTGCTCCAATATAGTGTTGTGTGATCATGAGGTGTATTCCATGGCTGTGGTGAGTGGGCAGTGCGGGCATCATCCGGCATATGCCAGCTGATGCCACCGCACCACCCCACTTACACCCTCAGCCATCAGTGTCTAAGTGCAGTTTAAAATTGGAAGTGGGCACCGGCACTCGGGAGGAGGCTGAAATATCCCCCTGCCAAATGCCGTTGAATGTGCTCACTCCCAAGTTCCTGTGTGTGTTTGTGTGGAATGTCGTCAGTGGAAGTGTATAAGGTGCAAATAAAATTGGGGGGCAGGTTGCCACAGGAATGCGGAAATGGGGTCCATACCCGCACTCCCTGACTTGCTCACCCCCCAAGGTCCTATGTGTATGTTTGTGTGATGATGTGAGGGAGCAGGAGGAGAGAAATATGCGGGGATGGGGAGGAATGGCTGGTTGGGCTTAGCCCTCCAGGGAGCCAGCTCCCCTACTGGCCCCAATAGGCACCTCTGTTGTCAAACTGCCACCCAGGGCATGGAGACCCCAGCCCATCCTGCCAGGGCCCAAAGCAGCAGCATTAAAGAGCCTCACGGAGTCCGAGGGCACCAACCCAGCACCATCCCAGCAGAATATCTATGCCCACCCCTGCATTTGCACAACTTCCAGAATATATAAGACATGGGACATCCAGGTAAGGTTTGGTCCTCCCCGTCCTGGACCTCCCGCTCCCCTGTGATGGAACGGCAGAGGAGCCAAGGTCTACCTGATGCCCCCGAACCCGGGCCAGGCACTGCTGAGTGTTCCTGCCTTCTTCCCGGCAGCATACATGTCAGGACCCGACCCCCAAGGCCCCGCCCAGAACCCCACACGGGGCCGGCCACCCCCAAACCCCGAGCCCCCAGGCCCCCACCCAGACCCGCCCAGGGGTATTGCAGCCGCCAGGCAGTGACCCATGGCCGCCGCCAAGATCCCCGAGGGGCCCCACTCACAACCGCCAGCAGTCCACCCCCCGAGGCAACCCAAGCACCTTCAGAGGGGGGCAACAGCCCCCCAGTCCCAGACACCCCCAGTGAACCCACCTCCAGGGAACATCCGGATACTCCAAACTCAGACCCCACACCCCCCCACCCACACCATCCCGCAGGACAACATCAATGGCCCCCCACCCTCGCTATGTGATGGAACCGATCAAAGGAGCCCAGAGAGATTCATCTGAAGTGGAAGCAGAGGCTATATCAAGTGCAATATGATCTAACAAACGATTTCTATACTGGTTAATGCAGAGACTTTCTCTATTTTTCCAATTCAAGAGGGTAGTTTTCTTAGCGATGCATATGGCAGTCAGAACCACGTGAACCAAAGATGTTGCAATCGGGACATCGTGCAGCTGTCCCAGTAAACAAAGAGAGGGGGAGGTTGGGATATGACATTTCAGACATTTTGACAGATCCTCACATACTCTACCCCAAAATTCCTGGACAGGTGTACAGGACCACAGTGCATGAATGTAATTGTCAGAAATGTTGTTTGTGCAGTGTGTACAGGTGTCAGACGACACAAACCCCATCTTGAACATCCGATGACCTGTATAGTGTACTCTGTGTAGAATTTTGTACTGAATTAATTGTAAATTGGGGTGTCTGATCATTTTAAAAGTTTTTAAACAAGTTTGGGACCAGAAGTCCTGGTCAAAGCTAACTGATAGATCCACCTCCCATTTTTCAATAGGCCTGTACAGTAGGCACTAGGCACGGTGGGTGCTTCACTTCATCTGCCTCTCTTCTTACCCTGATGCACCATCACTCTGGAACAGGGTCCATCTTGGCTCATCAGACCAGTTTTTAATAATGCGTTTAACAGTTCTTAACCCAGTTTTAGTCATTCCTACAATCTCCTTAGATGTTTTCTTTGCTTGATGCATGCTAATGATCTGACCCTTCTCTAACCGACTAACGTCTTTTTCACAACCACCAGATGTGACTTTCCACATGGTTGTTTAAGAAATGAGAAGCAAATCATTGCACCAGTTTGGGTTAAATAACTTGTTACCAGCTGAAAAATTGCCCATGCAGTAATTATCCAAAAGGACACTCGTACCTGTTTGCTTAGTTAAATCCAGGTGGCAACTTTTTTGGGGGGGAGGGCAGTGTATGTTGTTCGTTTTATGTTTACATGGGCACAAGTACTTGGAATGAACACCCTATCAGATCAAAAATTCTTCATGTAAGCATGTTTATCGAAGTATTCTGATCTGTTACGTTCCATTCGGAATTAAATTCCTTTCCAATTCAGAGATGTGATTTTGTCCGATCATCATTCCGACTGACGACCATGCACTCATCCATTCGCATTCTTGGAATAAAATAATCCACATGTGTGCAACTTCAGCGTGATGTCTTTCTGCTTTTGCTGATGCTCAGGACAAGTCCAAGGAGCTGTAGTGAGTGGCTGATTATTGGAACATTATCCTGCTCTCCTCTCAGTTCATTTCAAATTTCCATTCATGTTTATTTATATAGCACCAAGTCATGACAAGAGTCGTCTCAAACTGTATTACAAAAGCAGTTCAATGTAGTTAAATCAGTCATTCAAATGATTCTAACACGCTGTAGTGTGTGTGTGTGTGTGTGTGTGTGTGTGTGTGTGTGTGTGTGTGTGTGTGTGTGTGTGTGTGTGTGTGTGTGTGTGTGTGTGTGTGTGTGTGTGTGTGTGCGTGTGTGTGTGTGTGTGAAGGATTGACTGGAGTCCGAAGGGTGTGTACGGAGAGGGAAAGAGACAGGGAAGTTGCTGGGTTAAGGATACATTTGGAAGGTTAGGTCTATGGACGCGTGTACGCGTCTTTTGAACAGGTCTGATTTGGGACATTGTAGCAGCAAAACTCCACCTCCCTGAGTTTCAGTTTCAATTCAGCTTCAAAAATGTTTTGAGTGATTTAAGGTCTAATATGCAGCCGTGCATAATTCCGCATCGATGCAGCAATGTGACATAATGAGATTTTCTCCCTATGTCTATGTCGGGGGTCGGCAACCCGCGGCTCTGGAGCAGCATGCGGCTCTTCCATCCATCTGATGCGGCTCTCTGTGCTTGTAAAATAATGAATGGATATTTAAATAAAATGCTTTCTATTTTACTGCATTCATTTTACATCTGTATGCCAATTCTAAATGTAAAGATTGTCTGCGTAAACCTGAACAGGTCCAACCCGGTCTTACTGTGAGACCGGGTTGACGCCACGCTTGTGAGTAATAATATAGGCGCATTCTGAGCTGACGAGGAGGTGAGATTCTGGGATTCTCCTCACACGGCTCCTGGAAGTGTCGCCACATTGGAGACAGGAACAAGCGCTATTCAGCCAAAGTTTCATAATCAGGGAACATTTTCTAAGTGACAAGTCTCGCTTCAGTCGGAGGAATCTTCCTGCATACGCTCTGGTTCTGCGACGCGCTCCAAGCCCCTCTCCACATCTTCAGCTCGCTGAGGACCTTATGTAGTACACGCTGACAGTGAGCTGCGCTGAGCAGTGTCCAGCTCAGATGTTCAGATGGGAATCTTTTCTTGAGTGATTTAGCTACATCTGCGATGTACAAAACGAATAAAGTCAGTTCGTCTGCTTGCGTCGGGGTAATTCTTTCTATTCTTTCTCCATCAAAATAAACGGTCAAATACGGGAACTATCCGGTCAACACAAGCCCTGCTTTTAACTGTTTTGTTTTCTTGTGAAAATTGTTACAAATT